ATTCCTTTACTTTCCTAATAAACTTGTTTTTGCTTTGTGCTGTGGAGTCTCCCTGAATTCTTTCTTGTGGGAGATCCAAGAACAGTCTTTTGGGGTCTGGATTGGGACCCCTTTCCTGTAACAGAGCTACTGACCCCATTTGTTTTATACAGCCTTGGTCCTTGCTGGTCTCCCTGCTTCGTGTCTGGGAACCCATGATGCACCACCCCCATCTCGGCCCCACACCTTCTGACTGTTCTTCTGGAGGCTTTGATCAGCCATGGCCTTGGCGCTTTGCACCATCTTGGTCCATGTAGGTTTTACTGGAGCCATCACTGGGAACTCATCATGTACCCAGATCCCCACCCCTGACCCCACCCCTTCTGTCCATTGCTCATGAAGCTTTGATTGGTCATGACCTTGGTCCTCTGTTAACCTGTGGGATGGGCTGTTTATTGTTTTTTCCACCTCCTATTTCCTTATTCTGTATGACTATAGATACAAAAATTGATATATCTGGATGTTGCTATTCATAGGTAGGCACATAAACACAAGATTACATGAATATGTCTACGAACCCTGAAAATCTGAGACAGGACTCAGTTAATTTAGAAAGTTTGTTTTTCCAAGGTTGAGGACACACGCCTGTGACACAGCCTCAGGAGGGCCTGACGACATCAGACCAAGGTCAGAGCACGGTTGGGTTTTATACATTCTAGAGGGACATGAGACATCAATCAGCATATGCAAGGTGAACATTGGTTTGGTCTGGAAAGGTGGGACAACCTGAATCAAAGGTGGGAAGACACAGAGGGGGCTTCCAGGTCAGAGATAGATGGGAGACAAATGGTTACATTTTTTTGAGTTTCTCATTAGCCTCCCTAAAAGAGACAATCAGATATGCATTTATCTCAGTGAGCAGAGGCGTGACTTTGAGAATAGGAGACACGTTGGCCGTAAGCAGTTCCCAGCTTGACTTTTCCCTTTAGCTTAGTGATTTTGGGGCCCCCGGGATTTATTTTTCTTTTACATGTGTGTATAAGGATTTTTATACACAAAAAAACATGGCTGAACATGGTGGCTCATGTCTGTAATCATAGCACTTTGGGAGTTTGAGGCAGGTGGATCACTTGAGGACGGGAGTTCAAGACCAGCCTAGCCAACATGGTAAAACACCATCTCTACTAAAAATATGAAACATTGGTCTGACATGCTGGTGGGCACCTGTAATCCCAGGTGCCTGGGAGGCTGAGACAGGAGAATTGCTTGAACCTGGGAGACGGAGGTTGCGGTGAGCTGAGATTGTGCCACTGTATTCCAGCCTGGGCATCAGAGCGAGACTCTGTCTCAAAAAAAAAAAGTGTCCCCCAAAGACATTTCCAATCAGGAAGAGACTCTTTAAAGGTAATTGTTATGCAAAGAATATTATCTTCTATGCCACCTCTGGGAGCTGACACCAGCCCACGACAAGTCTGGAGAGAATGATGTCTGATGGCCCATCTGGGACCTCTGCATGGGTCATTGTCTAAACTGGCTAAATCCTTGTTGCTGGATTCATGTCCCAGATTTTGAAAGCTGTAAACTGAGGCACAAGAGGTTTCCAGGGAAGACTAGTAGATGTCTAATGAAAGGGTGGAAAATGAGGGAACAGGACTTGTGGGGGAGAGAACAGCTGCAGATAGTGGCCAGAGTGATAGCTGGCTCAGGACCCTGGCTTGGGATCTAAGAAGGTTGGAGATCAGATCTTCTTCCTCAAGAATTTTCATCGGGATGATCAGCTGTGCTCAACCACCTCCCTCAAAGCATCTCTTGGCTCTGTTTCCCCTGCTTAGTCACACTTAGAATGTTAATATGTGCTTATCTCTGTTTTCAAGGTAAGGAGGGAAACTGAGACAGAAGTGATTGGGCATAGAGTTGGCTACTTTGTTCAGATAATGCAGGGACTGTGTTATCCAAAAGAGGGTGACAATTTAGGGTTAGGGTGCATCCCCAGTTCCAGGGTATGGCGAGGTGTAAAAGTGGCAGGAAGGGCAGAAAAAGTCTTTTGAGAAGAGCAGATAGAGTTGGTACCATCTTCTGTTGGTACCACTTCCTAGAAGTGAAGGCTTCCTGTGCTCTTTTGATTAAAATAACTTGGAAGTGTGGCACAATGAGAGATAGTCAGCTAAAGAGGACACCAGGCCTCTGGGACCTCCAGCCGAGGGATGTCAAGAAGGAAAGTCCCCAGCTAGGGGAAGGGGGCTGGGAAGTGAGGAAGGGACAAAGAGAGGAAGAAGGCTGTGCAGGGGTAGCTGGATAGGAATTTCATCTGGTAACTAGGTTCCCAAGTAAGATTGTACCTGAGTGTAAGTCCTAAGTTGTCTCTTTCCGGGCTCTGGGATACTGGTTGCCTGGATTCTCTATTCTCTTTTCTTCTAATCGCCTTCCTCTGGAAGACTCTTAATTTTGACTAGGGCTGATGGTCGCTATGGAGCCAATACTGGCTTCAGATGCAAAGTTTTGGACTTGTGGAGTCCAGCACAATGCACTGACCATTTCCATGGGTCTCCATCTCTGTTCCTGAGAAAGACAGATTGATTCTTGCTGCTTTGGGCAGGTGTGTGTCCCTAGACTGGTTAGAAGTGGGCAAGATGCTGGGTCACCTGTGAGTCTTAGAGGGAGGCCCCTTTCAGAGAAAGGCCCGTGCAGTTGACAGGGATCCCAGGACATATAATAACACTCGCGTCTTGTCACTTGGTTGAAATCCGCTCTTGGGCTTAACTTGCTGATGAAGCGCAGTTTCTTACTGGTCCATCTATAAAGTGGGACTGAAAAGGAAGTGACAAAAACCGGGCATCCTCAACCCAGTGGACATTCTCTCAAAGGAGAACTGGCGTATCTGGCAGCAAAATCTCTGCGTCAACATCCTCCCCCTTCTCTCCCCTCTCAGGCTGCTACTTCAGGCAGTTGCTGGAAGCAGGGGACACGATTTGTGTTTAAGTTCATTTGTTCACTTCAGGAGCAAGGAACTGGAGGGTGGATGTGGCGTGAGGACCATTCTCTGTGTAGAGGAAGGACGGGAACAAACACAATGTTGATTTCTTGGTCACCAGATTTTTCCTTGAGCCATGTCTACTAGAAAACTGCTAAAAGAGAAACAGTAAAATATGTGTTCTCCTGATAAGTTTGGAAACTAGGTACAGAAACAGAAATCCCAGGACTCTGTGGGTGGATCTGAGTAATTCTTGTGGCTGGTACAGGAAAGAGTAGGTAGCTTCTGTCCCTCTCTGCTTCTGTCTCTTTTGATCTCTCTCTCTCTCTCTCTATCCACCTCTCCTCCTCTCCTCCTCCCTCCTCTCTCCCAGTTTCTCTGCCCCTCTCTTCCTTCCCTCTTTCTTTTCCTTTCTCTCCCACCCTCTCTCTTTTGAGAAAGGGTCTTGCTTGAGACACACCCACACTCCTCTATCTGCCCAATGGGTTTAAGGGGTGACTCCAGGCCAAAGCCTGCTGACTTTTTTTTTTTTTTTTTTTTTTTTTTTTTAGATGGAGTTTTGGTCTTGTTGCCCAAGGCTGGAGTGCAATGGCGTGATCTCGGCTCACCGAAACCCCCGCCTCCCGGGTTCACGCGATTCTCCTGCCTCAGCCTCCCAAGTAGCTGGGATCACAGACACCCAATAGGACACCCGGCTAATTTTTGTATTTTTAGTAGAGATGGGGTTTTACCATGTTGGCTAGGCTGGTCTTGAAACCCTGACCTCAGGTGATCTGCCCACCTCGGCCTTGTTGACTTTTGATTAATGACAGTGTAGAGCATTAGGCATTGCTGATGCTTCTGAGGCAGGGGCATTTCCCCAGAGTTGGTGGTGACCAGCTTTAACATGCTTCTGTGCTGTACCTCGTGGGAAGGTGGACGAAGGCCTCGGGAATACTCCCATGGTGATTCACATCCTGGTGTTTGCAGTAGGCATGCTCAGTGCAAGGGCTCATGCTCAGGGCTGAGGCTCCACCACAGCCCTGCTGAGTGCTGTGTTCCCTTGCACGAGTCCCTTAGTCTCTCAGTTGCTTCTTCACTTGTAAAATGGGGCTGAGGATAAGACCCTCTTCTTAATATCCTAGTAAGGATTCAGGGTGAAAATGTACAAGAAACACACGTTGGCCGGGTGCCGTGGCTTACACCTGTAATCCCAGTACTTTGGGAGGCCAAGGTAGGTGGATCACCTGAGGTCAGGAGTTTGAGACCAGCCTGGCCAACATGGTGATATCCTGTATTTACTAAAAATATCAAAACTTATCCAGGCATGGTGGCGGGTACCTGTATTTCCAGCTACTAAGGAGACTGAGTGACAGAGTGAGGCTTAGCTCACAAAAATAAATAATAATAAAAAGTAGCACATAGCATTGCAGGTGTTCCCTAGGTGCAAACAGCTGCTGGAGTGGAAGGTGGAAGGTTGGGGACCCCTGGCATCCTCAGGCTGGGATGAGGAGTCCACACTGAGAGACATCTAGACCAGCACTGCCTCTGGGGTGTCAGGGGAGTCAAAGATGCAATTTAGCATTTGCTGGTAGCCACATTAAAAAGTAAAAAGAAACTGATGAAATTAACTGTGATAATAAATTTCCTTTGAGATAGTTGTAATATATTTACATTTTTAAACATAGCAATATATTTTATTTTTATGTATTATTAAACGTGATTCTAACATGTAATCGATATAAAAATATTAATGAAATATTAATATTAATGAGATACTTTATATTCATTTTCTTCATCATGTCCTGAAAGCCCAGTGAGCGTTGTGTATATACAGCCCATTGCAATGAGACTAGCCATGGGGTTCCGTAGCCACATGGGGCTAGTGGCCACCATGGTGGGCAGTGCAGGTGTGGACCCACGCAGGGGAGGGGTAGAGAACCAGCCGTACTGTGGCTAGATGCACTGAGACATTCTGGGATCATGCTAAACTGGGTTATTCCAGATTAGAATTTTTTTCCTCAACCCGGATTCCCTAACCTCCTTTTTAAAATTTGTTTGTTTTTGCCAGGACTACAAGTCTGAAAACTCACCCCTCCTCCCCAGTGCCAAGAACATTCTGCAAGACTCTGTAAGTAGAAGCATTTTGCTGAACCGATTGGATTTTGAAACTCCTTTTGCATCCTTTTCAGCCTCTTTGGTCACCATCATCCATCACCAGGAATGGTGTTTACCTGAAACTAATCTTGCTGGAGAAGTAACTGGGTTTGAGGGGAATACATTTTCCTAAGCACGTGCACAATTTCTATTAGGATGCACCTGGGCTGTATTCCCAGCCTTCGGTACGTGGTGTGAGAGCTGTGTTCTGCCCTCTAAAAAGGACCAGGTCCACTGGGGGACAGATCCGGGGCACAGTGGTCAGTGACGAGGCTGCAGATCAGTTCCTCTGCCACCTGGCATGAGGGCCCCAGGTTTTGGAAGAGTGGATGGAAGTCAAATTTCATTTGGTTGTCTTCCTGGTAGGGACAGGAATGCTTCCTGAGTGCCCTGGGGTCCTGGATCATGGCGTCGGGCTTGAAGTCACTGGGGCACACAACTTGGGATGCTGGCGGTGAATTCCCATGCATCCCTCATCTGTCACCCGTGAGTTCAGTGGCCAGGAAGCTTCCTTCACAGATAGCTCTGAAATCACTTGTGCACAGCCTCTCAGTGATGCAGTCATGGTGTGGTGCATTCCCCAAGCGTGACCTGTTTGTGTATTGTTGGTGACCTTGAGATGACATCATTTACACACAGACGGTTGTTTTGTATTCATCATAGAATACATAGAGAAGTTTTATAATGATCTTCTCTTTATAGCCATCATGACTGGCTTTCCGTTAATGGTAGTGATCTGAAATTTCCTTCAAAAATACTTAAGTAGCCAGGCACTGTGATTCACGCCTTTAATCCCGGCACTTTGGGAGGCTGAGGTGGGCGGATCACCTGAGGTTGGGAGTTCTAGACCAGCCTGACCAACACGGAGAAACCCCATCTCTACTAAAAATACAAAATTAGCTGGGCAGGGTGGTGCATGCGTGTAATTCCAGCAACTCAGAAGGCTGACGCAGGAGAATCGCTTGAACCCGGAAGGTGGAGGTTGCAGCGAGCTGAGATTGTGTCATTGTATCCAGCCTGGGCAACAAGAGCAAAACTCTGCCTTGAAAAAAACAAAACAAAAACAAAAAAACTTCAGTAAAAAAAAAAAATGAGTTGACTCAAAGACAAAAAAATGGTATGGAAAGAATGATGTAGGTCTGGTAAGACATTGTGATAGTGGTAAGTGAACGGCTGAGAGTAAATTCTTTTATCAAAAGATGATCATGGCCAGTCCCAATGGCTCACACGTATAATCCCAGCACTTTGGGAGGCCAAGGCAGGAGGATCGCTTGAGCCCAGGAGTTGGAGACCAGCCTGGGCAACATAGGGAGACCTCATCTCTACAACAAATGAACAAATTAGCTGAGTGTGGTGGTGTGCGCCTGTAGTCTCAACCACGCGGGAGGCTGAGGTGGGAGGATTGCTTGAGCCCAGGAGGCAGAGGCTGCAGTGAGCTATGATTGTGTCACTGCGCTCCAGCCTGGACAAACAGAGGGAGACCCTGTCTCAAAAAAAAAAAAAAAAATTCTGCTTGGCCCTGGGCCTCGGGCCTTGGCTGTGAGTGTGCTTTGAATTTGAAATGTTACCTCCTCTTGCTGCCCCAATCTATGCTGATCCTTGGTGTGAACTGGAGTATCCTGGGGCCCACTACTTGGTGCTTGTGTGTTACCTCCAAATAACTTTCCAGGCTGGGTTTTTTGTAATAAATCTCATTAGTGGATCATCTGAAAGTAGTGTTGACCTGCGATGCCAAGAAGAGGAGGAAGAAGAGGAAAGGGCTGGTGAAAAATGACAACCACACACCTAGCTTTCTTTCCCCACTTCTCAGTTGACCAAATGTTCGATCTCTGTTCTTTCAGCATCCTCTCAATGACTCCATAAGGTGAGTGCTGTTTCTATCCTCATTTTATGGCTTAGGAACCCCAAACTCAAGTAACGTAATGTGCCCGTGGTCACACAGCCTGGACTTACCTTCTGACCCACTGCATCAGTGGAGCACCTAGGAGTCTTGAGGCGTCACATCAAGTGTGGGAAATATTCTTCCCATTTTGGATAGATGGAAAAATGATACATGAGGCAGGGAAGTATTGTATTGGCTGTCCCTTGCACATGACAACTACCCTGAACTTAGTGACTTCAGCAGACTTTCAGTATCTTACTGTTTCTGCAGATCAGTAATCTGGGAGTGGTTTGCTTGGTGGTCTGGCTCAAGGTTCTAGGGAGCTGGGGCTGCTGTCTTCTGAAGGCTGGAGTGGGGCCAGAGGATCCACTTCTGAGGTGGTTCACCTTATAGCTATTGTCAGGAGGCCACGGAGCTGCTTTAGTGTCCTCAGGACATGGTGGTTGACGTCTCCCAGGGTGAGAGATCTGAGAGAGTAAGAGCAAAGTAGAAGCCACATGGGATGAGGATAGCAGTGAATTGCTGTGCGTCCCTCAGATGACCTAGCCTCAGATGTCCTATGCTGTCTGCTCTGCTGTATTTGATCAGCCATACAACCCAGTCCTCGAGAGACTGTGGAATTATACCACACAAGGGCATGACTATACCTTAAGGGGGGGTCATCGGACCATCTTGGAGGCTGGCCAGTGCACTCTCCATAATCTTGAAATAACTGTATTTTGCAGTTCCGTCCAGGATGCTTGTAACGTCACACTGAGTCTATGAAAAGTAAACAAAGATACTAAACCCATTTTGCAGATGGGGAAATGAGGCATGGAGCAGGAAAGTGACCAAAAAGACCTGACGTTGGTTGTGCAGACACTTTGGAAGGGAAAGTAGTTAGAAAAGCTAATTGCCCATGATAGGATCGAAGGTGTCTGAGCTGGCTCCATGTCTCCACTGCTTAGAATAGTGCCTGTGCCTGCTAGATTTCAGCTCTCTTGGGTTGGGTCAGGTATTTCCTGGTCCCTAACCTCACTCACCGAGGTGCATGTGTTCTCTCTAGTGGAAGGGATGATGTTATCATGCTGGTTTCTTCTCTGGAGGCTGTGGATTTTTCTAGGTTTGCAGAGACTCATGCTGTGAGGATCCAGTTGCTTTAACCTGCCCCTCCTTCTTCAGCTTCTGATTGTAGCAGGACTACTGGGCTGGGTCCTTCTGGCTGGACTCTCACAGCCTTGCCTTCCACATGACGTGGAATGTGTCATGTTTGGAAGCAGTCATTTTCACGACCTCTGCTGGAGGCAGCATATGTTGGCCTGACCAACTCTGGATGGCAGATCGCCTCCCATTCACGCGTGTCAGAATGTAAAATGTGTTCCGTCTTTGATCTAGCAATCACACTGCTGGGAATTTGCACCTTGGAGATGATTGCACACGTGTTGAGATGTGTTTGTATATTTATTAAGGGGATGATGGTAGTAGCAAAAATAATTTTAAAAAAGATGTGCCCTCAATATCCCTCAATAAGGAATAGTTTAAGTAAATTGTGTGTACCCATAAAGTCCAATTCCAAGCTGCTGCTAGGATTTCATGGTGAGGATTTATGTCTGTTGACTTGAAAAGATGCTCATGACATATTGTTGAGTGAGAAATACAGCCTGTGTTATATGATTCCAATTATGTGCAAACTGTGTTCATAGATCTCCTTTTCTCTGAGTGCAGAGAGATGTCAGAAAGGCAGATGGAAAGTTCAACTAAATTGCTGGGTTTTGCATTTTTCTTTAGACTCTTTTTTTTTTCTACAGTGAGCAGTTATTTTCTTTGACAGTGGCAGTAATAATATAATATTAGTAATAATAATGTAGTTGTAATAATGTAAGAAGCAGTAATAGTAGTAATCATGTAGTAGTAATAATACTAATATTAGTAATAGTAATAGCTATTTATAAAATTAAGCAGTGTGTTCTGGACTGTTAAGGTTTTGCAGGACAGCTGATGGTATACTTATTAAGGTTCGGTTCTCAGTTGTCATGGAAATGCTGTGACGTCCCTCTAGAGGAGTGAAAATCAGGTTTACAAGATGGAATGTGGCCTCTGGACAGACTCTTTGGCCTTTGCCCGCTCCAGAATGCAGAATGCTCCAGGCTATGGCATCTCACTGCCCTTTCCACTCACTGCCCTGTGGTACCAGTCAGCTCTACTTTTTCTTACCTTCACCTCCCTGCTTTGGCACTGCCTCCCAGAAAGGGCTTTCCCTCCATGCAGAAAGTACATTTTATCAGCATTCAGAATAAAACAGAATAATCATAATAGTTAGCATCTTTGGGAACTAGGAAGTACCTGACATTGCACCCAGCATTTCACAGGCATTGTGTCTTTCTGTCCCCAGAGTAGTCCAAGGTGAGAAGACCTATTTAACCCCCTTGTTTACAAGTGGGGAAGCTGAGGCTCAGAGGAGCATGGCTTGCACAGTCTCATAGCTAATGGGGAAGCAGTCTGAAGTTCAGACCTAGATTGAGCTGTTTCCCATGCTGTGTTGAGCCGAGGGGAAGGTCAGCAGGTTCTGTTTGGTGATGCAGGGGGCATTTCTGGGAGCCTGTGTCTCAGGTGCAGTTAATTCCAGGGTCATCAGGTAACATAAAAATCACACCTGGTCAGTTATGTGTGCCAGTTCCATTGGAGACCAATCGAATACAGCCATACTTTCCTTGACTATTAGAAAAAATGAGGGTCTTGGCTTAGATGCCAGATGAAGTGATTGTGTTGACATGAGAAGCTAGATGAATGAAACATACTCCTCTTTAAACATTGCAGTCATCTGTGATCATGTGGCCACGTGATAGAGAGGCATTTGGGAATGAGACTGAGTGGGAAAATTGCACGTTTGAAAGTGAACTTTTGGGTTCACTCTGGAGCAAATGCATCCTGAACCCATGGAAATGATGCTGCCCAGCCTAAGAACCATACCATTACTTTTTATCTCTTTCTTGATGTAGTAGACACTATACCCTCCTATACCCAAAGCAGACATTACTAATCATTTGTGCCATTCTCCCTTCCTATATCCAAGACAGACATTACTAATCAATGATGCCATTATCCCCCCTATA